AGCCACGATGTTTGGTTTTCCGGCTACAAAGTGATTTCGATTCTTTCTTTCTTCCTTTTGACAAGGAAGTACGCTACAGTAGCTATAGCTCTAATACGGTGGATCCTTCCCCTCCTCACAGCTCTTATCTTGCCCTCCAAATGAGAAAACCTGGATGGCTTTTCAGGGCCCCTGTTTCTGCCTGGATGCTATCTCATTTGGTTTTAATATATTTATCCATTCATTATTGTTCCTTTTTTTTTATCAGCCAGCTAATATTGTTCATAATTTGTCCTTATCTCAAAGCCTGACAGACAAATTTACACTGGGGCCCGGGAGACAGATGGAGAAATGACCCCTCTCCAACCCCTCCTTTCCTCACTCCTCTCCTCCCTCCATTCCTCTCCTCCTCTCCAAACTCCAATGAAACATGACTGACAGCTCGCTGTATAAGTAGTTGTCATAGCAACCCCCCCCCATCCTTCTGACAAGTGCTTTTTCTCTCCCTTGCACCCTCTCTCTGTCATAATATCCCTCTCCCTCTTTCCATGCTACACTCCCTCGCTGTTGCAACGATTGAGAAATAGACAAACAGAGAAGGGACATTTGAAAAAACCAGAGAGCACCTCAGGCAGTCGAGTATGCTTTCTTACCCCCGCATCACACCCATTGCCATCCCTCCCCCCCCCCCCCTCTCGGTCTCCTCCCACCCCCGCCCCCCCGAGAATGATTTACCAACTGCAACGGGGCACCTCTTTCATCCGTCCCGGCTTATCAAGGACTGCAGGACTGTATGCACATCAACTTACAGTCCTCAGTCTCCTACACATTCAGCCTCCCCCCTCACCTCCCCCCCCCCCCCCCCCTCCCACTTATTCTTTCTCTACATCTCTGCTTCTCCTAGCTCTCCACTTTTCTTTCTTTCTCTTGTTGCTCCAAAAGAAACTCCTACTCTGCCCCATTGCTATTCAATAGGTCTCATTTCACTCTCAAAATCCTCAGCAGTCTGCATTGTTATGATGGAGCATACAGTAATAAGTCTCCGGTATACTGGACTGTGCTGCAGAAAAGTGCATACTGTATGCCGTGTGGACAGGATATCCTTCAAACTTCCAGCGAAAATTAACATTATGTAACAGGAGAAGGTATTCGGAGCATGTTTACAGGGAGGGAATTACAGTGTTATTGTTTGTTATGTGCGTGCTGTGATAGTCAGACTACATCATGAGGAATTAAGATATGAAATATTACTGATATAAGTTGCTTTTGTGCAGTGTCTCCAAGGCCAATGCACTTATACTAAAAAGCTTATATTGATTAGAAAAGGGTCCACATGGAGCCGGTAATCTTCAGTATGTATAACCAGGCAGCTCTCTGCCATTTCATTATTCCAGAGTTTAATTTCCAATGCATTTATTCTAAACAAGCATCTGTTTAGTAACCCAGAGTAAATTAAACATGATGGGGGGGGGGTGAATTTCAAAATAGCTGCGGAGTGTCACAATGAAGTTGCATACAGTACTCTGCCACAGTGAGCTGTAAATGCATATTAATGCCAGCATGCTGCACAGTTTTCACAGTGAAGTAGCTGCTGGTTATTAGACCCCGAATTGTTTAGGTGATGACATTTCACTGTTTACACTATAGCGCTCTAATTTAAGATGCTAGTCATGCTCTCTGGGCCCCGCTGAAAAACAACTCATAATTTCTTGTCTTATTTGGTATTCATCGATACAGTAGAAGGCATTTACTACAGGTGAGTAGCTGGAACAGAGACATGACTCAGCAGTTTTTTAAAGCTGCAAAAGAGAAAAGGAGCACTCGGAAACAGCATTTGCTGCTAATCACATTTGAACATCTCAGCTTTACAGAATGCTGCAGGGTTGCGTGTGACTGACAGTTCAACTCACTGAGACAAAAACACGATTCAATCAGAAAAACTATTTTCATGACTTCCTGTTCATGTAAAACACAGTTGACTTCGGCTTAAAAGTCCAGAGCAAAGGAGCTTACCTGTACAAGGATTGAATCGATTTATATTACACAGAGAAAATTAGGCACGTTTTTGGGGGATTACGTTGTTTGTTGTTAGCTGCATGTTATGATTACATATGTAGCTGTACATATTCAGTGAGGTGATTTCTGTACCCAGTTTAGGGGTCAGTTCCCATACATGTGGAATATGTCACTGAGCAGAGAGATGTTGCATGTGCTGTACGGCATCAATGATGCATAGACATGAATGTAAAGATGTGAGATTGAATTGCAGATGAAGGATAAACGCTCTTTGGCTAGACTGAATTAAGCTGAGTTTTGTGAAGTCTTACTATCTGGTTAAATTCAAAACTGAAGAACATAGGTTGTGGACGCCTTCACACAGGTACCTGAAAACGTTGCTAGCAGCAGCATAATCAGATCAGATCTTGACCAAAAATGAGATAGTTTGAGATTTGTGTCGCAGTTGGATGGAAGTTTTGATAGCATTTATGGCTGTTAGCTTTGTAATTCTCTGTCAAATTCTGTATGTTTACTGAAAAACACAATTTAGACTAACACTCATATCTGCTCTAAAGAAGAAATCAATTAGTATTTGGTGATGGCTAACAGTGGGACATGCAGCTCTTTGTGTGTCGACTGTGTGTGTGGTCACGGCGGGGGATCCGTAATCCTCTCTGTAAGAATGTGAAAGTGTATCCCAGTTTGTGCATGTACATTTTTCTCTCCCTCTTTTGCTGCTTTTTGTTCCTCCCCCTTCAGATTTGTGTAAATGACTGTAGGTGTTTTGCACTCTCTGTATGTCTGTGTGCACACTGCCCTGTGCTGCAGTGTTGTAGATAAATGAGATAATGTTTCTATGGGCGATGAACACAACACCTGAATTCCCAAGGTAGCATTTTAGTTCAGAGCAGCCACAGCAGAATCCTAGACGGTGGAACAGATCTCTTCTCGATTATCTGTTTTCATGTGTTGTTAGCCTGTTTTCAAATTGCAGTCACTTTGCAGAACATGCACTCCATCTCTCTCTGGCCCACAGATGACAAACTCTTACAAAATGCACCTGAAAAAAAAATAATACAGTCAAATAAGTCTTCCTTGCTTAGTATCTTTTTTGGATGTCATGCAAAAAGCCAGCCGACTGACATGACTTCACTGTGTTAGTCTTTTATGTTCCTCGCCAGTATTATATAGGAATGTGATATATAGTGGCCGATGATCCCGCTGTTCTTGGAGTCTTATAAATATTATTTCATTCAGCAGGAGGAGACGTGCCCGTTAGTAATCTTTCCGCTGAAGGATGGATGAGGTGTCGTATTTTAAGACAAGCCACGTATGAGCTGTTCTGAGAATGATCTTCAGAGTGTGGCTCATATGAAATTTATGGGGTCATGCATTAATTCAAAACTTGTCAGAACCCCCATCATCTACTTGAAAAAAGGAGTTGAAGTAGGGGGGAACGCAAAGGGCGACAGCGGTTGCGCGGCTAGTTCTGTGTGCTGCGTGTGGCTCTCCATCTATAAACAGAAGGGTATATGAGGTCTGGCGGCATTCAGGGAAATGTGTGCAGTGGAGCCCCTCCCCCCCCCCCCCCCCCCCCCCCTCCCTCGACTCATCTCTCCGCATTCCAACCTCAGAATTTATATTCTCCCTCCAGCAAAAGGAAGGACCATCTTGGCCTTTCATTTTCCAGTTCAGGGCTTTCCTTTTTTTTTGCAGATAAATGCTCTCCAATCCACCCTGACAGATGTCACATTGCATCACTTCCGTTTTGATACGTAGCCTCTGATCCTGCCACTTGCAATAAGGAGTCAGCACCAGGGATGCCCCTCCCTAGACAACGCTCTGACAGGGAAGATTATTTCAAAGGTGCATCATTGGTGGTGCTGAGTGCCGAAGCGGCGAATCCCAAGCACTCTGCCGTGCCCGATGCAGGATTGTGGGTATCGCCTTGTGTCTGGGTCAGAGAACGACCACAACGCGACACACTCAGTAGTCGTCACTTGTCACCCTGACTCTGTGCAAAACCTCTATCAGGGATTTCTACCGCTCTCTACCTCTTCACAGCAGCAGCCGCTAGTCGTGTTTCTCGCTCGGTGTTTCCACTGTGGCTTCACAGGTCAGAGTTGGAGAAACAATCTGTATAAAGGGAAGGTTTTAGTGCTTCTGCCGCCAGCAGAGACTCTCTGCACTGCAGCATTAATCATACAAGGCCGGAGTACATCAGTAAACACAGTGTGTCAGGTCAAGGTAAAGATCAGATCCCACAGCATTTAACAGAACTCAATAGCATACAGGCTATCTATTGAAAATGCAGCGTTATTCATGGCATGTCTCCCAGCCTCCGATGCTCGCAGGAGAAGACACGCCATTGTTCACTGAAGAGCATACTGAAATATTTCTCTGGCTACACAAAAAACACTGGATCAGCAGCAATTAGTTGAGTAAGAGAGTGATAAAGAGAGGAAGGGAAGGAGGCAGTTGAAAAAGAATGAGGTTGAAAAATGTGGAATCAGCGAGAGAAAAAGGGAAGCAGAACAGGGAGAGAGAGAGCGTCAGTTTCCAGCCTCACAGTGTGGTGTGTAGGAGGTTGGAGCCTAGAGCCCCTGGTGCTTTTAAAGGACCAAAGACTTGCTCATTGTCTTGGGTCTTTGTGTGTGTGTGTGTGTGTGTTGTGTGTGAAATCTCTTCATTAGTTCTCCCATTGCTCTTCCCCCAGCCCCTGACCACTCACTTACCCCCAGCAGCTACAGTATACTATGTGCCCATGTGGGACTAAACCCAGTTATACTAGAGATTAAAATGATCAGTCTTGGAAGAGAGATAATGCAATGTGACTCAAGCCGTTGAATAGAACAAGACTATATCTGTGTTTGCTTCCGTGGAAAAAAAAAGACACTTGCTTTAAATTAAACTCAAAAGAACAATGAACGACATTTCACTTCTGTATGTTCTCAAATTGGATTAGTAATTGAGGTCAAAGTTATAATTTAACCTTTTTGTCTCTTTGTCTTGTTTTGTTCCAGAAGACAGGAAGTTGTTTGTTGGGATGCTGAACAAACAGCAGACCGAGGAGGATGTTTACCGCCTCTTCGAACCCTACGGAGTCATCGAGGAGTGCACGGTCCTAAGAGGTCCTGACGGAAACAGCAAAGGTAGGTAGCCATACAGTTGTCAGCATTATTTAGGTCACTGACAGAAGAAGTGACAATGTGAGTACGTGTCTAAGTCAGCTGGGGTACGGAAAATGTATGTGACATATGTCCCAGATATAGGTCAAATGGCACATAATTACACACATTCTATCACCATTCTGGTTGATGTGCTAGCCAGAAGCAGGCAGGGGAAAATAGTAAAGCCAATGTATGTCAAACACATTTGATTGATGTATGTCTTTTATAATTATCATGTATGACAGAAGATGAGTGAATCAAAGTACAACAAAATGTATTTGGCAACTCTCACTGCAGTGATCTTGGCATGTTTTAAATATAATCTTTGTTTGAAGACAGACAGGGCAGATTAACATATATATTTATGTTTAATATGTTTTAAAATCCAAAGGCAAGATAGAAAACCAAGTTATATGGTAGAAACATCCTTCTTCTTTTAAGGTAATTGTGAACCCATCAAATATAGCAAGGATTCATAAAATGCTAGTCATTTTTAATGCTGAGTTTGCCATTACAAACTCTTGCTCAGCACTCTTTTCTGAAAAAACTCTGCATTTCAAAGCTAGGATTTCTATTCTGTCACAGTCCTCATTTTATTTTTGTCAGTGTTAATTTAAAGCATTTAGTCCTATGGATGTACTGCAGGCCCTTACTGTTACTCCGGTACTGTAGTGTTGATATCTTGCAGGCGCTTTTAAGACAGCCAAAAACTTTTTGAAGACATCAATTCCCTTGACGCGCAGCAAAGAGCCCTTTCCCCAGCCAGCGCTTAAGGAAATTGTTGTGGAATTATATCTAAGGGGGTTTGAAGCCAGAGCGGTATGACTGCCGTGGTTTGGAGGAGACGGGAAAGATGGATGTCAAAACGATTCAAATGTCCCTGCTGTGAGGACGTGGCAGCCGAGAGAGATGACAGGGCTGCAAAGCAACCATGTACATTTACTCAGTACAATTCCCAAGTACTCAAGCCCTACTTTACATTAGTATTCACTTTTTATGCTACTTTATACTTGTACTTCACTGAAATGTAAACATTTCTTGTAAGTAAGTATTTCCTCTCTGTGGTATTGCTACATTTAATTTAAAGTAAACATTCGTCCCTGGACATTGCATTTCTCTTTGTGGCTCTAGAAAAAGTACACTATCACATTTTCTAATAAAGACCTGGAAGAATAAAAGACCTTGCTGACAAAAACAGGTTTTGTGTTGCACAAAATCCAATGTGTGCCGACATGACTTTAAGTTTAATAGCAGAAAAGGTTTTGTTCTCTAGTTCTTGCACAGTTGTGTGTGATGCACACTGCAGGTTGCACAGTATATTAAGAGTTAAATTCATAATTATATTGGCATAGTTTGTACTGCTCCAGCAAAGTCCTTGTACAGGTCATGCTGATCTCTAGCTCTTTTCTATCCATATCTCAGTAGGAGGTAGTGGTTTGACAGCTGAATGGGCATCTTGATTGGCTGGTGTCCACAGGGGTAAGCCCATTAAGAGCGGAAGAATGGCAGGGCTGCTGGGTCAAGCAGTACAGATGATAAGAAGAATAAAGTATGAAAGATTAAATGAGAATAGAAAAGAAACTTAAAATGAAATTAGGTGAAATAGGGTATAATTATAAATGGGGATAGCGGCTCAGGAGTTGGTCCTGCTGCCTCACGGCAACAGCCCCCGGTTCAGTTGTAACAGCTTTTTTTGGTTTCCTCCTAAAGTTTAATTGACTTGATCCAGAGACTTCAAATCTGCACACACATGTAGCATTTAGACTGTGTGTAAATGTGTTAGCTTTGTAAAACACTGACCACGTGTACTAGTGGTCTCCTTTCTTCCTTCAAGCCTTGATTAAAAACAGTGAATGAATAAAGTATAATTAATAAATTACCATAAACTAACATCATTACTATTCCATTGTTCCATATGTTAGACATGTGTACTTACTGTAAGGGGAGCCATACTATTCTTGAAAATGAATTACAATATTTATGAGTATATTTTTAAGAATCATTTTGTGGCAGTAAGTTGTAGTATTTCTAAAGGAGACAAAATGTACAGCTTTAAATCAATTTTCTGTTAGCTTTAAAAGGGGGCCGTACTCCAGTTTAGTGATTGAATAATTAATGTGCAACAGCTCACTTTGTAAACCCGCAAAAGCCATCTTCAACTTGTTTTCACTTGATCTAATCCTCGCAGTATTTCTAACGGACATTAGAGCCAAGAGAGTGGGTTTTGTGGTTCCTGGCCTTTTGGACAGACATCGTCATATTCACAGATATTGATCCTGTTGTGGGAACGATACACTGTACTGAGTAGTTCTCAAATTGAGTGCTTTTTAAATGTAAAACATTTTAGTTTTGAGTGTAGCCAGTTCAGCTAGTATTTAATATGCACAGACAGGCATGTGGTGCTAAATAGCATGTTTTTCTGCTTCATCAGTGCAATCTTTAGCCTACAGCTTCTGCCTGCCTAATGCCCGGAGTGGGGCAGCCTGCTGTGCAATGAGAGCCTCTCACTGCACAGTGATTTCCGTGGTGTCAAATACAATTCAACATTCTTTATTAATATACCGTAGGCTTTTAATCTCACTCGATTGAATACATTTACTGCACATAAACTGTGTGTGTCTGTGTGTGTACCTGCATGTGTGTGACGTGCTTCTGTTCTCTCTTCCAGGTTGCGCATTTGTCAAGTTCTCCACACATACTGAGGCTCAGTCTGCAATCAGTGCCCTCCACGGAAGCCAGACCATGCCAGTGAGTACAGCTCTCTCCCTTATCAACATTTCAACATATCAAAACAACTGAGAAACATACACACACATCCATTGCATGCACACCTACACACTGACTTAAATAGCTATGTGCAGTCTTTATTTAAAGGTCCCCTACTGTTTTTCATCAATATATTATAGGTCTCAGATATATACAAACATGTCTCTGAAGTGTTTGACTCAAAATACCAAACAGATCACCCATTACAGCATCCCATAAACCCCTCTGTTTCAGCCCTGTGCTGAAACAGAGGGGTTTATGCACAAAGTGCTGATTCTCTGTCTGTTACTTTAGATGAAAATAAGGAGCCACTCCCCACGCCCCTCTGAGAGATATTTGGTTAAAAAGAACACAATGGTGCTCTAGGAGGAGATTCAGGTGATAAGGTGGGGGGGGCGGGGGGTTACCTTGGTTGGTGATTGGCTAATGGTTACACAAGACAAAAAATCGTTATGACATCATAAAGTGGCCACAATCAGCTCATTTTCAGACAGGTTTTTATATAAATGGATCAGGACAAAAAGTGAGTGAATCTTTTTTCCTGAAACTTTCAGAATCTCTTTCCACAGAGGGGACACATGTTGATGTAGAAAAGACATGAAAAAGTGGATTTTGCATAATAGGTGACCTTTAAAGCTTGAACCTCTTTTAGTTTTACTTTCCCCCAACTTTTAATCAATTTATGAAATGCAACCATCCTCATCCAGTTTTTAAAACAGATACAGCCCGAAATAGCCTCCTGTCTCTTTAATTGGCAAAAAATAAAATTCCAAATCTAATTTCCAGATAAAACTGTTTAGAATGATAATTGAATTTTGGGTGAGTCATCAATCAGTAGTTCTGCTTGCATAATCAGTGAATATAACTCCAGTGTGAGATTACATTTGCCCGTTATGTAAGCACACTGAATCCTCTGAATTCTGTCTCTATTGGACTTACTATGAGCACAGAGGCTGGACGGCTCGTTTGTATGTGTCTCATGTTTAGGCATACTGCCTGTATACCTGAAGGTTTCAAATAAAAGCGACTTATTCTGCTCTCCAAACCTGAATAGAGTTATTTTCCGTGACATCCGGCTAACGGACAGTCACATATTATACAGTCGCTTGTAAGTATAATGTTTTTATCCTCATTTTTTGTTTCGGGAACTCTCGCCTCAGAGAAGCAGGGACCCTGAACTCTCTCATATACCCTATCTCACAGATGTTGTGTTTCACTGTATGATTTCATTATCAATGGTTGCCAATGTGTGGCTCAGAGCAAAGCATAGAGGAGGACTAGATGCCGGCTGTGCCATTTTGGCCGCAACCTCTGAGTCAATCTAAGTGCAAATGACTGCAGGTCATGAGGAAAGACTCTGGATGTCCATTCTCCATAGATACCCTCCTCTTTTGTTGCTCCTTTCCCTATCTCTGCTAGCTCTCTGCCCTCACTCGTCTCTCTTTGGCAGCCTCTCGGGATATTAGGCAATAGACTTGTTTACTCCACCTTTCACCACATTGGCTGCTGAATTATTCATCTAACTATAAGCAGGGGGCAGAAGGGAGGGGACGAGAGTTGGGGAGAGAGACAGAGAAAGGGGGGGGGTGAGGGAGAAGGAGTGAATGGACAGGATTTATACCTCCTGCTCTGGTAAATTGATTATAGAAATCTGATCAGCATCTCATATCCTGTGGCTGCTGGAGGAGAGGGCCCAGTGTGCCTGCCTCGCTCAGATTAGCGGAACACTAGTGGGCCATTACGCCTCAGTGGGACTCTGCTATTCACAGAAAAGTGTCTATCAATGTAGCAAACATCCTGGAAAAACCTTGGACCATACATCCTGTATTCATTTGGGTTTTTTGATTGCAGTTGAGTCACAGCGGCAAAACTAAGTCACGTACAAGTATATTGATGGACTGAATATATAAATAATCTTTCATTTGCACTACTGGATGCATTCAAAAATGAATATATGAATAAAGAAGTGAAACAAAAAGAAAATAGACTATTGACAGCTCCAATGCAGGATGCATACAGAACTGAACTTATGAAGGCCATCCATTGCCTGCAACTGTTTTTGGGAATTGTCTAATTCTCACTTCTCCAGGGCTAATAGAGATGATTAATTGTTCTAATGAAACAAGACAAACTGAGCCAGCATGTGAGTGTGTGTGTGTTTGTGAGTGAGTGTGTGTGTGCATATTTACTGCCTTCCAAGGCCGTGTCTGTTGAGCAGACTCAGAGAGATGACCATGAATAAAGTCCAGCCAATAGCGTTGCAAGCTGAGGTGTTGAAGTGCACTGAATATTAACACTGCGACTAACTACAGCAGTTTGATAGATCCACTGCCAATCCCCCAAAGCATGAGCACTGGCTCCTTAGAGTTTATGAGTGTGCACACACACGCACACATGAATGCATGTGTGTGCATACATAAACATGTACAAACAGAAGCACTTTGTGGCTAGCACATTTGCATCAGCCCACACACACACACACACACACACACACACACACACACACACACACACACACACACACACACACACACACACACACACACATACACACACATACTATTTATATATTGTTTCTCTTTCTGTTTCACTGTCACATGTAGTACAGCCACAGGCTAGGGTCAAAGGCTCCCTGACTGATCTTATTTTCCAGCTCGCAGGACTTGGGCTGAATATATTTGTGTTATTCATGTAGAGGGGAATGGGCATTTTGTATGTATTGTATATGCGATTCGGGAAGGAAATAGGAAAATGAAAGAATGTACGAGTGTAGATAAATGACGATCAGAGCATGTAAAAATATACTCTACATATGAATACATGTGGGGGAGCATATATACTTCTGTGAACTCATCCAAATGAAAAATGATCTGCCAATAGCTAACTACGACATAATGTCACTGCATGAAGGATGATAGCAAGAGAGTGTAAGTGTGTGAGTTATATGAGTGCATCCGCAGGTCACATATAAGACCTTGGCTGGATCTCCATCACACCCTAACCCATCATATTTCAAGCGTGCATACCTCTGCCTCCTATACACACCACCATTATCTCTCAGCCAGCGTTCACACACACACACACACACACTGCCACTGTTCAGAGTATGAGTGGCTCAATTAAACATTTAAACGCCAGAGCTGTAAAGCAAATTGCCGGGATTCAGCAGGGTCGTGTAGGAAGTAAGTCCCGGGACAGAATTACACAGAGACGAGGGGGGGGGGGGGGGTGGGTCAGGTCCGCAGAGCCGTGAATTCTTTTCAATCCGTATCCGCGTCAGCTCAGCCGGGGTTTGAGACTGTTTTCGCTGACACAGGGACTGACACAGAAATACTGGAGCAGGTTGATGGAAGGATAAGAGCAGAACAAAGGAAAGTAAATGAGGTGAAGTTTGCATAGAAGAGAGAGCTGGATGATTGAGAGTGAAGAGAAGAGCAAAGAGGGTAAAAAATAAACATCCAAATGTGATTCCCAAGCTGCTGGATCTTCTCCATTACTTCAGACAGAGAACACACACATGCAAGTGCTGTGAGTGCCAGGATTTAACACTCAGTCAGACACATTGTTTTAATGTACTGATCAATGTGTCACTGCCTTAAATAATGACTAAATAAAGAGATGGTGGAAAGGCAAAACATGCTGCAGATAGCACAGTATATGAAGGCTGCTTTAAGTCAGGAAACAGTAATGATCTCATTGTGTAGTCAATGAGATGCAGAGTTTTAATGTCAGTTTTTCACGAGGATGATAGATCTCCGTGCTGCTATTCATTAAACAACGTTCTGCCTTTATATTTTTAAGTTAATGTGTATTGTTTAAGATCTGTCATCTCCCCCACAAGTATTTCTACCCAGGCAATTTACATTCTAATAACCTCATAGATTACAGTCATCCATTATTTTACTAGCCAAGCTCAAAGACGATGTGTATTCATGACTCCTTTGGTGGAGAAGATTAGTATAGTATCTTGCAAAGGACATCAATTATAAGATATATACTGTAGCATCTAACTGCATATGCAGCATCAATGTAGGATCCATTGAAAGCAAAAATAAATAAATACATTTCAGATGTGACTGCGGGAATCTTGTGACATCTGAAGAAATGTGAAACCCACCATAATGTCAAAACAAACATGTCAAGTGGTGTCTAGATGAGCATCACATGCTATGCACTCATGTTCCTGATGGAAGCACTCTGGTCCAATGCATTTTTAATATAAAGTTGTAACTTTGTGAATATAAAATCATGTTTTAATGTATGGTAAGCAATGCAGGCAGAATATGAGGCCATATGTTGTGGAGGAACAGACAGCTTTAGTGGCGATACATTCTCATTAAAATAGTTTTTTATCTTTCAGGCAGGGATGAAAATATGTCTTATGGTAAAAAAAAAATGTTTATAAGAAAGATGGGATGTATGTCTTGGTTTTTGTTTTTGTGCTAGCAGTTTTACAGACTGAGTCATCATAGGGTGACTAACCCAAGCAAACTGGGACAACATGAAGGCCTTCACCATGTGACTCTTGGAACCAATACAGGATCAGACTCCTTTCTAGCTCTACTCTGCACTAATGCAAACCTGCATATGTTTAAAGTTAAAGAAGTAAGGGGTGTATAGCTTGGTCTGCAGCTTAGACAGACTCCAACCTTGGCAATGAGAAGGAGGTGTAGAGAAGCAGACTTTCCTTTTGGTTCTGGGTCTCTGCAGGGACTTTTTTTTTTATCCTCCCTGTTTAACTCCCCTTCCTTCAGTGGCTCTCTAGGCAGCTGGAAGCCGCCTGGCAGGGGGATTCTGCTCACACTTGGCAGCTTAAAAATTTAATGAGACTTTTACTTCACACTTCATCCTGCTCTCTTTATAGCAGTGGCGATTCTACTGATATCCTGACAGGCCTAACTGGGAAAACCTGGGAGATAAACAAATGTGGCATTGGATGCTTGGCCGATAAACCATATGATTCAGGTGTCCTAGGGAGAACCAGCGGGAGGGAAGAGTCAGTGTATGGACTTCCATTGACGACGCCTTGCAGAGAGTGGGACATACATGGGAAAGTATGAAAGAAAAGGCAAAAGGCTCTTATACAATAAACCATGTTTCTATCATCCAAGCAGGCACACTCCAGTCTAATCCTGATAGAAAAGAGGTTGACTTCAGTGTTTCAATTTAATACCCTCAGATTATAAAACCCAGCCTTCCCCAATAAATTAAAGAAGCCGAGTAGGAACACGCAGCTCTCATTACCAAAGAAGGTAGACCTTTAATAGCTTTTTCTTTTCTTTTTTTACTGTGAGAAGGAGTTAGAGTATTCATTATGTACTAGCACATCTCCTTTGTATTCTGGTCATGCTCTGCCATGTCCTGGACTCTCCCAAAGTTAAACCTCATAATAAAGTTAATGATGCAGATGGTAAAAAGCTGGACCGACACAACAGACAAACCCTCAACCAGTAACTGTGCCAAGGTTAACTTTGAGGTGACCGAGCAGAGTCTATGAGATGTTGCTTTACGAGATTGAGAAACTCAATAATATCTCTTTATAGATGATGTTCTATCTCTTGTTTCTATCCTGTTTATTATAGAATCATACAGAGCGCTCAATGGCCAGGGATAATGTTGTTCTGGAGTGACAGGAATGGGATGACACTCGCAACACTGAGGGAAACAATTAGTCAATCAGCTGTACAGATGTCAGCCGGCTTGTCAGTCTAACGAATACTACAGTCCGTCAGCCAGTTAGCAAGCCATCTAGCCACCTAGCATGCCAGTCAATCAATCACTCCACTAACTAGACAATAATCAATTTAGTCAGGCAACCAACTAACTGGCCTCTCATCTACGATCCTTCAAACCTGTGATTCAACCTCTGTAGCAAACCAGGAGGAGAGGGCTTGGGGGAATATTGAAAAAAAAGAGGGGAGAAAATAGACGATATAATCTATATGTTACAGTCGGAAGATCCTGTGCCTGTCTTTGAGCATCTCTATAAATGTCTTCATTAGCAGAGCTCCACAGATCCTCAGTCAGAATATGCAAACAGAGACAAATTAAAACTTGATAAATAATTTTGCTGCCCATTTATAACTGCTTGCCTAGAGTCCAACACAACTCCCACATCCAACCAAACCAAGAAACCCCCCCATGTAGCCCTTTTAAAAGCCCCATCCCCCAACCTTCAATCCAGCCACTTCACCAGTCACCACTGTTATTGACAATCCTGCACCAATTTCAGGGGGCCTCTTATCATGACTGACACACAACCTTTCTACACTGTCAGATCAGAGTAATATTTCGGCCTTTTATGTGGATCGATTGGCCAGTTTGGGGGCGCAGAGGGGAGGAGAGGCGGAGCACACAAAAGGTCAACTGTAGCGCTAAATCATTTGAAGATTCTTAATGAAGGGTGTGTGGCGGACACACCTGCTGTTTTCATTATTGGGCTTGCAGGAAGAGGTAATAGTGTTGATAAGGGAGCCACATAAAGCAAGGGGAGGCTAAACAGAGGGCAGAAAGAGGGAAATTGCCCTAAAAAGCCACATTTCCTTTGAAGACCACTTTCACCAAGGTCAATAGGAAGCACTGCCAATTGTAGCGCTTCCTTCAAATCATTGTATATTGCAGATATTTTAACCTAATCTGTGGGGAGGAGCACCAAGGTTACATATATGTACTGTACCGGAGTGGGAAAGCTGGGGGAAACATAAAGTATTTATGTCATGCACAGCGAGGCTTCTCTGCCCTGAGTGACTTTGTAAATGTTAAACACTGATTGAAAAAACGGAAGGTTTCTGTCTGCACATCTGCCTACAGAGCTGTTCGCTCAGTAGGGAGAATATTTTTTATTCTTCCCATACCTCTCTTAGGTTCATGTTTATGTATGCCAGTCACAAAATGAGGAGGCACAATTCCCTGCAATAATACAAATGTGCAATGATGTTTCATCTAGAATGCCAAAAAAGAAAGCTCTGACATGCAATTAGAGGATCTCACTGGATATTGATGTTATCACCGGTTGTTGTTGCTAATGATCATGGCATACAGACAAATCTGAAATAATAACAAAGACCATTCTTCATGCCCTTGTATTGAACCTTTTTAAGCCTTTTGTTGTGGTTGCTTTCTCATAAATACTTGATCAATCCTAACAGTCACAAATCCAAAAGAATTCCTGATGTGGCTAAGCCTTTTTGGGGATAGAGGATGAAATGATGTTATTGTTGATGACTGAGCCAGTGTTAACATCCCAGGTTAAGTGTCAATGTTGTTTTTCCTCAGATCTTCTGTTTCTCTCTCGACCCTCAGGGTGCGTCCTCCAGCTTGGTGGTCAAGTTTGCCGACACAGACAAGGAGCGCACCATCAGACGTATGCAGCAGATGGTTGGGCAGTTTGGCATCTTCAACCCAGCCATTGCCCTCCCCTTCAGCACCTACAGCTCTTACGCACATGCGGTGAGTGCGAAATGATACACACAGAACCACTCAAATAAAAACACATTCAATTTAACATACAAATATGTGCTGACTGAGGCTACAGTAGACCCTTGTAGGAATGTAACTACAATACAGTAGGTTGTGTCCAGGATGTTGGGATTCTGCTCAATCACATTGTTCTACAAGGTCCTTGAAGCTGCTATAATTGGGTATAAATAATGTAATTTTATATTAACAATGGTTTAAATGACTACGCTTATGTGAAAGGTGCCATCCACAGAGAATTACAACTGGACTCTGCAGTTCCTCTCAGTTATATTAAGTATTTAAGTGTCGTAATATGTCATTGTTCTGGTTTTGTGGCTATACAACTTAAGTGTTTAGGTTTATACTCACCGCTCTCATAGCGCCATCTTCAGCTACAGCTGGAAGCTCTTTCTGTCAAAATGATATACATAACTTACTGTTAGCTACCTTTCTAAACTTCTGTCCCATGGATCGAACGGAAGGAAAGAGAGATGAATGCACCAAAAGCAATGGAGGCTGCGCTCACCAGAATAGTCTCCTAAATCTTCCAACGTTTAGCTACAAAACTCGTAAAAAATCCAAGTAATTTTAGATTACATCATCATTTGACACATAGTGGCTTTTAACAAACGCAATAATTGTGCGCTGTCCGTATTTCTGCTGACACATATCATTTCAATTTGACCTGTATTCCCCTTTGGATGGACAGTGTATTGCTGAGGTGGGACTGTAAATGAATTAGATCACATGACACATGGGACACACATTTTAACCCCTTTGACCTTTAGCTTGACTGTTATGTGGTCCAATTAATCATCAAGCATTTTAAAACAGGCAGTGAAATGTGTAACTTTTCTAGTAAATAGAACACAAAGACACGTTTTGCACCCTACTTGGTATTCATTTCTATAATTGAAATGAGCTTGCCAAACTATCATCACTTCATTCAGCAGCACTTCTTGGTCCCCTCCTTTTTATAAGCAGTGCTGCTATGCTTTTACATTCAGTCTATCACTACCCTCACACACATTTAGTTAGCTGCTACCCTCCAACCCCTTCATCAGCTTCCCTCTGCCCTCCTACCACCGCCCACTGTACCCCCCCCCCCCCCCCTCAGGGCATGGCACCATATTCACACAGCAGACCCCCGGCTCTTTGATGAGTTCAGACAGCCTATGCAGCCGCTCTCACCATGCGCCCCCTCTACCTTCTATCACACTGCTTCTCTCCCCTCCCCCCCTCTCCCTCCCCCTGTCCCTCCCTCTGGGCCCTTGAGATGCTTCAGGGGCCACAGTTGACTCAGAATTTAACTTTCTTCTTCTCCGCTGAGGCAGAGCACTCACACGTACCGCCTTATGCACGTGCATGCACACTGTACTTGAAGCAGGCTAAAATGAATTGAGGAGAAGCGTTCCATCCAGCACTTAGATAAAAAAACCTGGGCCTCACACTGCATAAATACACATAATCATCAGCAATGTGTTTACTCACAGAGAAGGAGTAACACCAAATAATTTCCCCTGTACTCATTTGGATGTCAAAGTTATATATATTTCTTGCTGTTTCCAAATGCTAGGATAAATTGTTTCAAATAGCCAGGTCTTGGGGGCTTATCCGTTTCCCTCATTTTCACATCACAGCCCTGAGACCCAGTGTGAAATGTGCAAATTGACCATCTCAGAGTAATTGCGAGGCCATCTCTTGTGCTCGTCCCAGTAAAACTCCCACCTTCATTACCATTCATGAAATGCAGCCCTTTCCCAGGAAATGTGGAGAAATGCAAATGTTTAAGGGGTGGTGGAGGCAGTGGCGGTCTGCGGGGAGACCATTGTGCCCCGCTCAGGTTGGCCATGACTCTTATTTACTGTGGCAGAGACCCGTGTCCACTCATACAGACGCACACAAGCGTGTACACACTCAGACGCACTGCGCAGCAAATGTTCTTTCTTCCCCCCCCCCCTCTCTCTCTCCCTCTCATACACAAATATAATATGACAAAGAGCAGGATGATGCTAGGAAATTGAGTTCCGAGTGAAAGTAACAAGGGCACTGGGGATACTTCAGCATTAGAGAGAATCAATTACTATTAAATCTAAAAGAGAAATTGCACGTATGTGGTTGCTCGACACAAAGATTATCCAGCATGAATGATGTTAGTGAAGGTGAGATTCTCCTTGTATTAGTATTACGAATTACAGAGACTGTGGGTGCCATGTACCTGCATATAATGAATTTAGCGAATAAGGCAAGCCGGTTAAGAAACTCTGAGGGAAAGCAACCTTGGAGATAAAGTTTTGATAAAGTAATGAGTGCTCCAGAGGCAGTAATGGATTATCAGCGAGGCTCTTGTTTTCATATCTAGCTAAAGACCTATTTAATGAGTATAAATACTGGTTCCAACTGCAACATGCGCAAAATGTGGAATAAAGGGAAATCTGAGTTATCTTTAGTGTGGGGGTCCTGCTTGTGCAGCAGTTATGATTACATTACAGTCATGGCTGCATGTGTATGGTGTGCCGCCTCGAGTCCCCTGTAGCCACCGGGAATGTGCTGAAGTGATACAGTGAATGTTTCTTTACTGCAAGATAAACTACACATATTCCCCCAAGAAGAAAAACCTGCAGTGACACAAAAAGGACTTTATCTCCAAAGACACACTACATGTTCGCCCACTCTCCATATACGCTGGCCAAGAGAAGAGGAGGTGGCACAGTATAGAATACAGACTTGGGGAGAGATGGTATATATAGCTATAACCAGGGAGTACAGTAAATGGTAAATTCAAAGAGCTACCTCTCCACTACAGCAGTGGATAGGATTAAAGAGTTGAGCTGACAGCCAGTAAATTGGATTTTAGTCAAACCAGGAGAAGGAGGGGGCTCTGAACACAAATTGGAGGGGTACAACACTCACAACATATGCCAAAAATGAGAAATGTGCCATTTTTACGATAGACACTGGTGTGCTCTGACAGGAGACATCCTATTTGCAAAAAGGTGATTTCATAAAACACAAGCGGAGGGAGAGCGAGCGAGTGGGATTCCTTGTTTCATTCCAGTGTTAGTAGTGAGTGATAATAGTTCTCCCATGAATCGCTGAATGTGAGTAATAAAACCAGCTTTTATTACCTTTTGTATTCCCCCTTCAAGACACAAACATCCTATTTGTACATGATTAGATTTGATTCAAGTCACTTTTCTCCCTTCGTCTTCAAAGCCGTGTCTCTCTGGGAAGACAGCCATTTTAGCTTGGTCTCTTCAGGTGGAGGAATGCATGCTGTGTCGCAGGAAAGGAGAGACGTTTTCGATTTAAAGGCCCTCCGCACTGTGCCCCTGTTGCCTGCCTAAAAAGATACATTGGACTGAGTGTAAGATGGATAAATGAGAGGCGAGAAAATGGTTTAACTTGGCGCTAATAGTGACAATGTGTGGGAGGATGAGAGGGAGGATGATGACTGTAAACTCACATTAGGAAACATCTCCCCCTGTTGGAGGGACTCGCATTCAAACGGCATCACAGCACACATGAGGAATGATGGGAACAGATTACTGCATCATTTAGCTGTGCTGAAAACTGCCTGCACGCAAACACACACGTCTATGACCTGGTTTAGCTGTACTACACTTGTGAGGACTCGCTCTGCACACACAACAAAGTGCCTCAGATGAAATAACCTATTCAAATCTTTCCGTGGAAATACGGCCTGCCAGCATGGGGGTAACAAATGAGGCCCTTGAGCTTCAGTCTTCTCTCTTCAGTCTTTTTCTTCACCTCATTGACCTACTCTCTCCTCATCTCTCTTGTTTCTTCAACCTTTTTCACCCTCTCACTCTTTCCTTCTCTTTGTCTCTCTCTATCCTTTCTGCCTCTGTCCCCGGCTGGTTGTTCTATAAGGGGTCACATGTGACAGTGCTGAGAGTCAACGAGTCACAGAGCAGCGCTACAGAGATAATTGCCATGTGATAAAGAGGTGATTGCCTGCTGGCACCAGGGGAGAGTAATGCCATCAGGTTGCAATAAAAAAGCAGATGTCTGACACTAAATGAATGATGCGGGAGCCCGGGCAACTTTCTTTTCTCCCTTTCATCTCACGCGCTTTCTCTTTTGTCCCCCTTGTTCTCTCTGCCTTTTCTTCTCTCTTGCCTTTCTTTTCAAGAGGAAGCAGAAAGGTTGTGTCTGTGACGATGAAGACTCAGTTCGGCTCATTCTCCACCAGAGACATTTGCTATCTGCTGGCTGGTGCATAAATAAAGAAACGGGAATTGCTTCTGAATATAATGCCTTTTGAAATGATGAAAAAGAGGGGGGGGGGAAAAAGCATATACATATGAAAAGTCAAATGGAACGACTTTGAATATCTCTGTCAACAAAACCACTCTGCTTGCTGCTCTTTATTTTCTTTTTATCAGAGCCAGTTTGTATTAACCACTGCGTTCCAACATAATGATATGCTTTGGTTTCCAATTTGCTGCATTTGAATTTGGAACGAAGCATCAATGAGTTGTTATCCATGACAATCTGACGGAAGGCATTAAGCATTGCATGATCTAGAATATGCATTGGGAGAGAGGCTAGTCTTTACTCCCACTCCATGTTTACTCCATACAGGCGTGTAGCTTTTATAAGGCCACCAGGCCCACAATAAATAGACTGCAAGCCTATTAGAATTAGCTCTAAGTCCCCAGTATCAGCGAGCAGAGCCAGAGAAAAGACAAAAAAACAGCGAGTGTTGTGACAGTTTATTTATTCTGTAATACCAGCCCAGTCGGCCCCTTCATCCTGAAGTCTCACCCTGTTCACATCCTAATGGGGGGGCAGTCACAGCATCTCCAAAGCAAGGCCTCGTCTAGACCTCTTTGTTTGTTTCTGTGTCATTGCTTTTGTTTAGTTTCTTGTTCCTTTGCTGTCTTTTGCAGCTACGGCCCCTTAAAGGCTCAATTCATCTTATTTGGAAAGGAATGAATGATTCCCATTTGTCACAATGAAATTATGCAAATGACAACAGGCGTTAATAGATAGCAGAGGCAAGGCATGTGGCTAATGGATGAGATGCCAGCGCTGGGCATTCTGCAGCAGGACAGCCGCTTTCAGGTTACCTGACAGGGGCACTGAGGGGAAATAATTGGCTTTTCCGTTGCCGGGTCCCCATGCAAATACAAGCAGAGTGGCATTGTCTACCCACAGTGTCTCACAATATCGTCATTAGCATTAGCGCCAGTGGCAGAGGAGTTTGATTTCTGCTTATACGAGTCATTCTCAGGCCACGGCCATCAGCAGCTCCCCTGACACGCAGCAGCTAAGCAGCATTAACCAGATGCTGAGAGGTCGGTCCAGCTGTGTTTGTATTCCAACACCACACAAGTCTGCATCACTACATAGCCAGCAAAAGATTGTTGATTCGCTAGATAGACCCACTGGTTCGCAAGCTGCAAAAGCCATTGTACAATGATGGGTTTTCTTCTGAATTAGGCATTCAGTTTATGGTTTGCACAGGGAGAATTTAAGCTGAGTGCGGAAACTCAAGTAGAAAACTCAGTCGTTCCTCATGACATTTTGTCTGTGTGTTTGTGTGTGTGTGTGGTGTGTGTGTGTGTGTGGTGTGTGTGTGTGTGTGTGTGTGTGTGTGTGGTGTGGTGTGTGTGTGTGTGTGTGTGTGTGTGTGTGTGTGTGTGTGTGTGTGTGTGTGTGTGTGTGTGTGTGTGTGTGTGTGTGTGTGTGTGTGTGTGTGCAGTGCAGGGCAGCGGTGCATGTGAGCATGAATAAACACACTGTGGGCTGCATTTGATGGAAAACATTTTCGGCTCGAACTTCTCACTTCATGCTAAGTAGTATGCAGAGTGAATGAAAGGCTATTGATTTATCTCTTTGTGGGATTGTCCAATGGTTGAGAATCGACCACCATTTCAATGTTCTGACTAACATACTGCACTACTAACATGGTGTGGAATTTAAATGTCTTGTTACAAACAATTAACAAATATTCTTTTAATGAATCAGGGTCTGGATTCAGTGACAAGTACATGATGTTGTTTTGGCAAATGTATGTCTCTATGTCAAAAACTATTCTACAAAAACTGCACCTTTTAATGAATTCCCAACTCTAAATGCATTCTTTTTGAAAAATGCCCTCACATTTTGGGAAACTAGCCCAGAGAAAGGCCTTGTGGTTTCTGACATAAATATGAAACAAAGCTAATTTTAAAGTCTGGGTGAATGTCAGGCTGCATACAGCAATCATTACAAATACATCAGAAACATCAGAGATGAGGCCGGGAAAATGATAGAACATCAAGCATCTGCGACAAAACCTATTCAGCCAAAGTGAAGTGAAGGGAAGTTTGAAAATGAAATGAATAAGAAGTGCAACTCTTCTGCAAACTTTGCCTGTTCCCTGAGCACAAGTATAATGTCCACATGTCAATGTCTTGATTTGTATGAGCCCAACCGACAGCTATTAAATCGTTTTTGCAGCTGGCGACAGGCTTCCTGCTGGGAGAATAGACAGATTCACTAAACATAGGTTGACAGGCTTCTTTTTTCTTCCCCTTCTTTTATTCCGCTCTACTTTCTCTGTACTTCCCATGCACTATCCATCCATCAACCTCAACATACATCCCTCCCTCTGTTCTACGTGTTCTCTCTCCTCTCATGCTTCCCTTCTCCCATCTTTGTCCGACTCCTTCCCAACTTACTATATTTTTCCTTACCGTCTTGTCCTCCCCTCACCTCTCTCGGAAACCCCGTTCTCCCCCCTGCTCTCTCCCAAACACCCCATCCACACCTCCTTCCCTCCCTCCCTCCACCCACCTCTCCGTGTCCCTCTTCTTTAGCTCATGCAGCAGCAGGCAGCCATCATGGCAGCAAGCCACGGAGGTTACCTCACGCCCAGCATGGCCTTCCCCGCCACACAGATCCACCAGATGGGGGCGCTCAACATCAACAGCCTCCAACACAACCCCATGAACCCGATGTCGAGTGAGTTCCATCAAACACTGGGTGAGCACTTTTGTTGTATTCCCTTTGCTTCTGTGTGCTTGCGTACGTGGGTTTTGTGGATTGAGGGTGGGTTATTATTACTACGAGCGAGTTTCTTGTTTGCTTGTGTTAATGTCTTACTGTTAGTGTGTGTAAGTGTTGCGTGGGTGTCTTTTTTTTGTTCATACCAGCAGGGTTCTTTTAGGTCAACTTGTTGTTTTTACAATGTCTGCAGGAATATTTGCATATGTGCATGTTTGTGTGTGTATGTGCGCGTGTGTATGTGTGCAGCGTGAGAATATAACTAGGACTGCAGCCAGGCCGAAAGGATGCCTGCCTGCTCACTGGTTTTCAGAAGTGATCTCACTGGAGAGCAAGAAAGACCAAGATGAAAAACAAAGTCAATCGGATTTGCATGTTTATGTACTCGCTGGATGCAGAAAGTATTTGGGTTAAGTAGCAGCAGAATAAGGAATCTCGATAAGTAAGTTTAAAGATAAGGCACTAATTTCCCCATAGATTTTTGACCTTGCGCTTTGAAGCCCTAGCGCATGATCTGCATGCAGTTGGTTTTGTTTTCCATAACAAACACCTCCTATACCGATACATTACAGAGGAAAAGGAAGGACTTTGAAATACCTACCCACTGCATCACATTTGCTTATTCAGCAGTGCTTGGTTTTCCTTGAGACAGAGGAAACTTCAAGATTCTCCACTCAACAAAAGCATGAGCCGAAATAAATAATACAGTAACCAAGTCTTTGTTGTGCTCCGCTCACCTACTTTGTCAACACTGCAGTATTGAGTTTTTAAGGTGATGACTTTGGTAACTTTAAACCAATCAGTGAGTGAAAGAGAGAGGGAGTGGAACAAGGCCTATCTTAGATTTTCTTTATTGCCATCACTGAAATCTTTACTACAAGCTTGCTGCACTATATCAAATTCTCTCTGCACTGTGTTCCTGTGGGGAAAGAAAACATTCTCTTAAGTCTGTATTGTGTTCCGTACTTTATTCACAGACTCAAAGAAAGGGCAGTTTTTGTTGTTCACACACTGTTTTTGTGCTTAACTTACTTCACAACAGTCAGTTGAATTACAATAACCAGGACAGGCAGCAGACCAGGTGTGGCAAGGCTACAGGACACCTATTAACCTTTAAATCATTCATGCCAAACGAACGCATGTGCATAAATTGAAATGTTGGAACATGCTGTGTTTGTACAGCACATCCACAATAATGTTCTACTTTGAGCAATATATCTAAAGAGGGGATCCATTTGTCAAATATTCACAGTGATGTTTTCAGTGCAAAGTGTGCACTTTGGTGCAGGCATAATCAATCAGAGACAGTGATTAAAAGTGGAGCTCAGTCTTGCCGGGAAGCCTCTTTTTTGATGGGCAAAGCACTGACAGTATGACAATTCAGATCTTTGTGTTCTGCATGCATACCTATATTTTGCAACACAATAGTGCTGATGAAAGATTGTGCAACTCTATTGCAAGGAACTCTGTCTCTCTCTGTGTGTGTGTGTGTGTGTGTGTGTGTGTGTGTGTGTGTGTGTGTGTGTGTGTGTGTGTGGTGTGTGTGTGTGTGTGTGTGTGTGGTGTGTGTGTGTGTGTGTGTGTGGTGTGTGTGTGTGTGTGTGTGTGTGTGTGTGTGTGTGTGTGTGGTGTGTGGTGTGTGTGTGTGTGTGTGTGTGTGTGTGTATTGGAGCCTTTGTCCACCAGTCTGATTGTTTTGTGTCTCTTTTGTAGCCTCTCGAAAGACAAAATCAGTTCATTGCTGTAAAGAAAATATTGCTGAATTTGTGGGATATTCTCTTGAATCTAATAAGAAGGAACATTTCAGGAAATGTTGTATTCTGGAAAAGCAAAAAAAAGCCAATAATTGTTGTATGTTAGAGAAGTGAATGAAGTCTATGAATCTGATGTGTGAAGTGGTGCCATGTATCTACTTTTGGACATGCTACTGTGCAAGCTACAGTTGGCTGATTACCTTTTATTATTGAAGGTAATATATTATTAATCCTTGAGAGAAGCATGGCTTTCGTGAATTCTCAAGGACCATCATAAATATGAAATGTTTTATTTCCACTTTCTCCATTCATTAATTTGAGTGTGGCTGCCAGCAGCTGCAGGATTGCTAGTGTAGCTCGCTGCTTTGGTTTACACAGCCATTGTCTCTCTCCATTTTCACACTTGTGGCTATGACTTATTTAGAGTTCAATGAAATAATACATAACATTACTGGCAAGGCTGACTGTATAAGTAGGCCATAGTCTCACACTGTTGAGAGACAGAAGAATGTCTGCCCCGAGTCAGAGGAATAATTCATTGTAATATCAGAATCTGTTTTGAAGGTCTGGGAGCTGATGCCTGTCTGCTTCGACAGAGGTGTCATTTATACATTAAGTTGTCTCATCAACTAGATTAGAGCTCAAAACAAATCTTTAAATTCTGACATTTGGAAAGTGTGTCAACTGTTTAAAAGCATAAACGGTAGAAAGGTAAAGTCATTGACAGCTAGACTACCACCTTTATGGTAATTACCTACACAGATCTGCATTAACACAAAGCTCCAATAGAAGCTTAACAGATGAAAAACCCTGCCTGATCTTCTGTTAAATGTGTGACATTAATCTTGTATTTAAATGATCAGTATAACCTCTTGCCACATAAACAATCTTGTTTGTGACAGCAAGCGGAGTACAAAGAGCCTCAGAGGTTAAGGGTGTTACTCTGAAAACAATGAGACATCCATTTGATCAACAGATGCAACGCATTTAAGCTTGATGGTGCATAAGCCGTTTGCCAGATGGCTCAGCTGATTAGAGCATGTATCCTTACAATGATGCATGATGATGCTTTTTGAAAATAATGTTCACCAGGTGCCGCTCCCTGAGCTCTGCAGAAGAAATACAAGTTAAACAAAGAAAGGGAGAGAAAGGCAGGGAGATAAAGAGGTGGAGAGAAAGAGAGGAATGGAGAGAGCGGATCCTGCCGGGTGTGTGAAGAACACGTCGTGTCAAGGACGCTTTGTTAGGATGAGAGTGTGTCATCTAAGTCACTCTAATGTTCTGTTGCATGGGATGCGCAGCCACATATCACACACAATATACTGCAGAGGCTCCACAGACAGACTGGAGGTGCCACAACATCCCTGCTGGATTTGAGCATGGTTACACCGTTGATGCAAAACACTTCCATGCTGACGGAAAACATGAAACTAATGAGCTGACTGAGTGATCTTTCGACTGTGTGCACCTGTCTTCAGCGACGCATCATGCATATTCAACATACAGTTTATATTTCATGTTTAATTGAAATGATCGCCATAAGGTTAAAGTTAACCAACCACAATGTATGTATAAAGAAAATACAAAAACTCTTCATAATGGTTTCTTTAAGCTAATGAGAATGAATGAGACACACAGAGGTATCGCATCTTGGCTATTTGGAATAATAGGTTCAATTCCAGATGACCCCTGTGTCTTAATTGTGACCTTCAGCTTCCAGCTCCCTTTAATCTTTACTGCATTCACTGTATTAGCTCTTATGAATACTTTACTCTTTCCAAGAATACCTTGACAATCATTGCATCTGTAAGGGCAAAGATATCAACGTAGAGACGTCTACTTGCTCAAAGGGCCTTTGTCCCTCTAATCCAAATGTACCCTCTTTCAGTTTAAATCAGGCCTATTGCATCAGAAATATAACACATCCCAGGAGCAAGTGAACAGTTCTGTGAAAGCAAAATCCCTTCTCTCTGCTGGTGTGTGCGGGTATTTTTTTTAGAGAGCACTGCCACAGTTCTTGGCCAGACAAAATCAGATGTGTGTGTAAGCAACAATCGCCGAGCTTCACAAGCACTAGAGACTGCACTTGTGTGGGAATTGTATTTATTATATTGCCCTGGGGTAAATTTGATACTTAAAGGTGGGGTAGGCAATTCACTTCAGAAACACTTTTTGTTATATTCCATGGAATGCTCTTAACATCCCGATAGCAATGAATAAATGAAATGCTTTGACAATAAATACATACAAAAATGTCATCTGTGGAAGCCGTGGCGCTGTAAAAAGCACGACCACGGCCTACCTGCCTGTCAGCCTTCCATCTCGTGCACAAACTTATCTCGTGCCCTCATTGGTCATGTGCGCGTTCGTGTGTGTTGGAGGAGGGGCTCTGTAAGGAAGTCTGAAGGAAGGGGCAGATTTTAGCCTAGCGCACTCGAGCTGGTTTCTCCATCCTTACCTACCCTACCTTTAAGATTAAGAATACACATTTTCATATACTAAGGTTGAATATGTATATCTAGACAAATAAAGAAATCTCTGTATTTATTGTGAAGATACCTGGTTATTTAAATATATGTTTGGGGTTTGATGGAGACCAGTGGCTTTTATTTGTCTAAGACTTTACTCAGGGGGACTTTTTGACTTGGTGACTCAAGATGCAAGGCTTTTATTGTCATTTGTACATAGCTACAGTGTAGTTATGACAATGAAAATCTTAGGTCACAGGCTCAGGGTAAAAAGTGACTCAGTTTTGCCGTATATAGGCAAGTGCTGCCTGCTAGTGGTTGGTTTGCATCTTGTACGAGACTTTTAAAGCAGGGAAAATGGATTGTGGCCACCAATATTTCTCAAGGCTTTATTCTATTCTATGAAATTGAGTTCAATGTCCTTTATGTTCAATTGAATTACAAATCTCCTCAAAGCTCCCATTGTCTGTCTGTCCAGATGAAGATGATTATGTTGGTGTTTGGAACATCACAATTTGCTATTAATGGGTGACACCCAGAAAGAGCTCGCCTGTAAGCTCATCATCAAAGAACATCATGAACTTTGTGTTTTGATGATTTAAAGAGTTTTTTGCTTCTCCAGCTAGTTATTGATTCATTTGCTGAGGCTAGCTTCCACTCCAGCCTGCAGCCAAAGATGCTAAGTTGCTAATCAGAGTGACGTCATCAGCATACAAGCACATTCTCACTAACACTCACAAGGTCATCAGTGGAGAAAGGAGATGTGAAACAGAAGCAAGATTGAATAAATGAATAAAGGTACTAATCCTACTCTAGCCAAGCTGAAATCCTTTATATGCAGATCCTCAAACTCTAGAGTACAGATGGACTGCACATTTGTTTAACATTGTTTAATAAAAACGTAAAGTATGAAGCCTTAAACTAAATCTGTAATATCTCTCCACTACATCGCATAACGAAATAAGCAGACATCAAAGTAAACGTTAATCATCTGATCTGCGTCATCAGGACTGTGTGGGTGTGGGTGATTGACAGTTGCTTGGCAGCCCACCAACTGAATACAGATCTCTCACGGAAAATAGCAACCAAACAGAACATTTTATTTTTCTTGTAGGAAATACTCTTTGAGAAAATAGACTCAGGGCTTTAAGTGGAAAGACTCTTTACATTCTACAATCAGTTGAGGATGAAATTATAGGTTATTATCCAACACAAAACAGCAGGTACATTCACATCTCATTTGCTTCAGAAATATAAGGTATAGTATTCAAAGTCACATCGTTTTCTTGGTATACCAACTGAGATGCCCTTTTTCATATTCAGATATATTATTCAGACAGAAATGACTCTAAATGCATCACATTTTGAATCAGCTAGATGAAAGCATCTGTTTTGAATGCTTATTACTTGCTCCAGCAAAAGACAGTCCTTGTGCCTGTAATGACTGCACTCTCCAGTATGGGTATAGCATTGCTCGTTGATTTGAATGTATAATTTGCATAATAAATGCTTCTGTCGCATTTGAAGACTTCTCTCGTGAAGCAATCGTGGCAAGGAGCAAATCAACAGTTTCCCCCCTCTCTAAGAAGCAGCCTGCACGAATATAAATGTCATTCTGCTTCCATAACATTTATATATTTGACATACACATACATAGTGTTTTGCATTGCAGACCTCTTTCCTGCAGTAATAAGAGTGAAGAAGTGATAGTTAAGAGCTAGCTGTATAGAATATGTAATTCACGGTATGTCAGTGGGAAACAACATGTCATTATTATAGGCCAAAACACGCAGAACACACTGACATCCGCACTCTTGCGTGTGCATTGTAAACAGGCTATGAATACCATTTCCCACAATGCAAGAACTATGTGTCCACTGAGGTATAAAATGAAAATGTCTTGTTATTTTCTAGTTCAGGATATTAGGAAATACTTCCCCATTTCAACTGAGGAGAACATCCTCGTGGTCGGCTCATGTTGGATATTGGGTCATTGTGACAGCGAGGATAAAGATGATGACTAGGCTACATAAATGGCTTTCTCCTGTAATCATTGTTTTATTGGCCGTGGTGTTGCTTATTGCCTTTTTCTTATACCACAAACCCATTTTGTGATCCATGACATGTATATCCCAGCCACTGTAGTATGTGTGACTATTCCGGTAGTTTTTGTGGATAAATCTTTTAGAGCTTTGCCTCTCTGCAATATCAATGTTGTTTTTATTGCAGTTATGATTTTTATGCTTATTCCCTGCTGTGACATTTCCAGCCTGATAACCTGACTGGACTCGGTGGCCTCAATCTGTTACTTTTACCATGTGGCCTACTTTACCGCAGATGTCATGTCCAACTGCTGACCCTTAGAACTTATGTAATTGCGTGGAAGGGATCCACTCTACCACCCACTACTACCACTGCTACTGCGTATATCCCTACAACTGCTACACATACATAGAAGCGCGCTCCCACAGCACCGCTAAGCCTTGGAAAATGAATTTGCCTGATGATGGAGAGGGTGCATTATCTGGCGGTACAGTAGAGTGCGTGTGGCCCGAGCAGACTAGTTGTCTCTCGCCCTCAGAATAGGAGCAGCAGTCTCCTGGGCCCCGGTAGGAGAATGGGCTGAAGCTGCAGTCTAATTCATCACAGCTCCGCAGGAAACAAGCAATCGTGGGGAGGCTTAAAAAAAAAAAAAAAAAGGAAAACCAGTGCCAAAGACACAACAGCTCTCACTGGACCCGGGCAATTCCCCCGGTCACTGCAGTTGCCTGCCTGACTGTCAGACTCTTCATGACTTAAATGCTGAGGCAAGGAGAGGAGGGGGAGAAGGAGAGGAAGATAGTAGGTAGAGAAGAAGAAAAGCAATTCCGTATGGATAGATTATATTACTGAGTGGTGGGACGTTACATCGTGTGATGTACAGCATATTTACCGTAGCATTAGCATAAATCACTGCGTATGTGTATACGGGATGTGATTGTTTACCCTATGTGGACCACCTCTCAAAGGGGGTTCTTCACTCTGGCTCCAGATTGAGGTGATATGGCCTGCTGGAGGGTTTCCGTGACAACCTGGGCTTTCTGTCCAATCAGGACTAGGGTTTCCAGATTGAGAGGTGGTCCTCAGGGGAGCTGTACTTCAACGAGCTTGGATGCTTTGCCACGGAGCAGCCCTTTTAGAGAGACCATCACACAGTGAGATTCTGCTCAAAATGGGTACTTTGATGTTCCTGGCATAATTGGAAACACTTTCCAAAGGAGGGTCCTTTTAAAATTCATTGAAAGCGAGAGGACAGGGAGCATCCAATTTCAATTCCACTCATGAACCATCCTGCAGCTGCCTTTCAGGTGTGTACCATATATGTTATGACCCGCCCATTTGTCAAACTGCCAACTGTTGTTATTTTGTCTTGTTTTATGATGAGCAAAAGTAGGAGACATCTTTGTGTTTTTGCCATCTGCTCATTCAAGCACATCTCCCCCTGTAATCTCCTTCTAGTCAGTCCAGATCCCTTTTCCTTTTTTTTTACTCCAGAAGTTGCATCGTGGTTTCATCATCCTGAGCACAGGAGCCAGCAGGGTATCGTACAAACACTTCGGGCAGGCTCATTTTTCACAGGTTGACTTCCCAGCTCTCCTGCAGGATGTGTCACGACAAATGGCTGATATGTGTCACACTTGCGACAGATCCGTGTCCTTGCATTAGAGAGGAGATGTAGTGCTTTGTGTGTTTTTGTGAGTGTGTATGTGTGTGAATATATATCTGCTCGTCCTGGGGTGTGTTTACTATCTCTATGCAATAGGAAAGCATGTCTATGTGTAGACTTACACTGAAAAAACTGAAATGTTGACTTAAATTAAATGTATTATGTAAGCTGATTTCACATAACTTAATATTATTGCTAAACCTAATACAGTTATGTGACATCTGTTGACATAATACATGTATTTAAAGGCAATATTTGTTTTACTGTAACTACGTCTTAAAGGTCACCTATTATGCAAAAACCACTTTTCCATGTCTTTGTACAGAAACATGTGTCCTCTCTGTGTAAAGAGATTCTGAAAGTTTCAGGAAAAAAGATTCGCTCACTTTTTTGTCCTGATCCATTTATATAAAAACCTGTCTGAAAATGAGCTGATTTTTTTGGCTTGTGTAACCATTAGCCAATCACCAACCAAGGTAACCCCCGCCCACCTTATCACCTGAGGCGCCGTTTACACGAGGAGAAAACTGCTTGTATCTGCATAGTTTCGCGTGCGTATAGCCCTATTATTTACACGAGGCCGATAGAAACTGACCCCACAAACGATAACGGGTCCCAAGGTGGATAGATTTGCAAACGAAACGCTCTGGGGGGTCAACCGAGTCCGTGTAATCACCTCTATACGAATATTTCCTGAAAAAATAGCGATAGCCCCACCTCTCCCCGCCTCTCCTGCTCACTGCTGTAGCAACTATCAAAAATAGTTGTGTTAATTAAACGCACAAGGGGTTCTTGAATGAAATAATATTATAAAAGGCAAACCAGAATTGTTAACGCCCAATATACTCCTTAAACAAAATAAACAGAGTCAGATTTCATGCATTGATCCATTATATTGACAAAGGAGCGATCTCACCCGGTGTTTGTAGAGAATATCTCTCTTTCTGAGCCGTCCTCTCCACAGAGACGTGCTTCTTGGTCGGTCGATGCAATATCCACAGATTCGGTTTCTTTCAGTTTCTTTCAGTTTCAGTTTCAGTTTCAGTTTCGGGGCGTAAACAGAAGGGTAGCCATGGCAACATTGCAGCGGGGCTGCTCGGTTGCTCTTCTTCGCGGCTTTTGGTGTATTTTGGCGGAAGTTACAGCGCCACTTACAGTCCCAGCATATGTACTACAGCGTTTCCAGCGGCCTCGTTTAAACAGACACGTTAAATGAAACAAATGCATGTGAACGGAAGACTTTTTTGAATACGCATACTGTGCATAAACGCAAACGGTCCCGTGTGAGCGGGGCCTGAATCTCCTCCTAGAGCACCATTGTGGTTTTTTTAGGGGCTCCTTATTTTCATCTAAAGTAACAGACAGAGAATCAGCACTTTTGAAACAGGACTGAAACAGAGGGGATTATGGGACGCTTCAATGATCTGTTTGGTATTTCGAGTCAAACACTTCAGAGACATGTTTTGTATATATCTGAGACCTATAATATATTGATGAAAAACAGTATAATAGGAGACCTTTAATAGTATTGCTAAACCTAATACAGTTATGTGACATCTGTTGATACATTTATTTAAAGTCAATGTTTTGTTTACTGTACCTACGTCTTAATACCTTATAACTGTTTTGTAGTATCATTGTAGAGCTATATAGACAGAGCCTCTAACTGTAAACCTTTTTCCCCCGCAGGCCTCAGCTCTCCACCAGCCAACATCACCACCTCCGTGCCCAGCCTTGTCTCGCCCCTCGTCAACGGGTTCACTGGGATCCCCCATCAGCCCAACGGACACCCCGCTGTGGAGGCTATGTACACCAACGGCCTGCCGCCATACTCCACCCAGAGCCCCACCGCTGCTGACACCCTCCAGCAAGCATTCACTGGAGTACAGCAATACACAGGTGTGAGACAGCTTTGTTTACTGTGCTGTTTTTCTGTCATAAAGGCTAAATGTGTAGCAGCTACGGGACGATTACTGCAGGCTAAGTACTGTATGAATAAGGCTATATGTATTCTCACAGTGTAGGACAGCAACATCACAGAGCCTTTGATTACACATGTTATGCTTGTGTGATCGACCTTAAGCATCCTTGACATCGTTCTCTGTGTGATCCCTGGTTTTACACCTGTCTCTCTTTCTTTTGGACTCTTTCCTCTCCCTCCTGTCTCTCTGCAGCAATCTACCCCACCACCACGCTGACTCCCATTGGCCAGACACTGCCCCATCAAGCCCAGGTCATCCAGCAGCAGCAGCAGAGAGAAGGTGAGGGTGAGAGAACATTATTTCTTTTTTTACACTTCACACATCTCATCTCAAAACCAATATTACTTTAGCATTGTACACACCTCATTCAGTGTAACACACATATAAAGACTGTGAGGGTGAGAGAAGAATATGACTTTAACACTGATCACATCTCATTCTTTTTAATGGATTAATATAGTTGGACAGCTGAGAGAACAGTGGAAGTGATTGCAGTTCATATCAAATACATGTAAAAATGATGAGATTAAAGAACAAAGTTAATCTCACTATAATGTGCAATATGTCTTAAAATAGGTTACATATGATCGACTTAGGCCCACGCTTCTTTTATAAGTAATAATTAAAGCTTATATGATCAAATCTGCAAGCAAGACGGAAAAATGTAATTAATGTAGATTTGCTTGAAGATAACGGAACTCGCCATACAATTTGATGGCTTCCACTCACACCTACTGCAGGTCTTCACAATAATAATGTATTCATGTTGCATTGACGTTGTGTAATCTGCATTGAATTAGTAATAGTCATTTTAGTATTTGATATGTCTGTGTTTTCAAAATTTGAAATAAATGTGTCAGACAGAAGGTGCGAAAGTATGATTGAAACCCCTCAGTTTAACACATTATTTACATGATTATTTACATTCCTACTTTAAAAAAAAATATTTGTACTGCTTTTATTGATCAGATTGTATTTATTTGGCGGCACATTTATCACACTGCAGATAGTTGCCAGTGGAAAAATGTAATTTGTTATCTTGATTTAGTCCTATTTATATTTAATCAGAAAAGTTTGTAAAACATAAATAGAAATGTTAAATACATTCCCATCCATTCAGTATCAGCAAATCAATGCAAAAACTTTTCAAATTATCTTTATGTGTTTAGGAACAGCTATGTTTTATCGCTGATAATGTCACAGACGTCGTGACAATCTATTTCCACTTATCTTAATTTAGTCGACACGAGAGACAGCATAGATCAAAAAGACAAATTCACAGCAGTCTCTCTCTGTTCCTCACCCATTAACTCTCTCTCTCTCTCTCTCGCTCTCTCTCTTTCTCTCTCTCTCCCTGTCTGTGCTCAGGTCCAGAGGGCTGCAACCTGTTCATCTACCACCTGCCACAGGAGTTTGGAGACAATGAACTCATGCAGATGTTTATGCCTTTCGGCTCCGTCATCTCCTCCAAGGTCTTCATGGACCGGGCCACCAACCAGAGCAAGTGCTTCGGTGAGTTTCTCCATGCCCCTCACACACTGATATCAAGTCCACTGGGTAAGAATCATGGACTTTAGCTCTTTCTGCACACTTTTACAGACTTTTCCTTAGATATAATATGATAATATGGGGTTGTAGGTATTAACCACTGACATAAACATGCAATAATGGCCTCTCCTAAAGTCGTAGAGAGCAACACAGGAGGGAATAACCGAGCCACATATTTGCATAAATACACTCAAGGGAAATGTTTAATGGATGTTTTCAGGAGTTGGACACAGAAACTAGCTCTTGTGCAAAACCAAATGTATTTTTGCAGTCTGACATTGTATATATTATTTTCAAATTATTCAGATGTTTTTGGGTGAAGTTATGTTTTTTTATTCACAGGGAGTTTTTATTTTCATACTGCGCCCCAAACTATTTTTTAAACAAATATTTGTTTCGATGCTTGACTCTGATGGTGTTTGACAGCCCTCAGACAGAGAGGAGTGAAGGATCTTACCACTGCCTGCCTGCCTGACTGACTGACCTGAATTTGCATCTTGATGACTGTTGTGTTTTGGCATCAGTGCTGCAGAAAAAGTGCTGAATACATTGTAGCCAAACTAGCCATGATGCAGTCGATCAGAGCCCATGTCCTTGTTTCTGTTGGCAGCTGTGTGACCTGAAAACCTTGAGGTGCTGTATCAGCATCCACATCACCGTTCTGTAACCCCAATATCTGTCAATACCCTCACCGCTGAGGCTGATTCACACACCTCCACGCCTCCCGTCCCATTTAGCCCTGTCAGCCAACACACTCCAACAAGCCCCAGGGCTTATAACAACTTTGAGGAGACAGGCGGGCATGGCGGGGGGGGGGGGGGGGGGAGTGAGGAAGGCAAAGGACGATTATGGATCAGCATTTGTTTTCACTTCAGGGAACAGCAGAACCCTGGGCAAAATTGATCGGCAGTCCTGTCTCCCTGGGGGGACTTAATAACATATAAATTCATGAAAGAGGGGCTATTTGCAGTATTGACTTATACACTATGCATTTACAACATAATGTTAGGCCTGGGGAAACAGGGAGCACACTGGTGTAATTAATCTAGGGAGGAGAAAGAGGGGATAAACGTAGATTGATGGGGTGCAAAAGACAAGGAAACACAGAGTAAGAGAGAAAGCACACTTGTAATGTGTGACAGGACTGAGCGGAGGGCTTAGAGCTCTAAGCCTGCATCTCCTCTCCATCTCATCTCTGCTCCCGGCCCTTATGTGTTAACCTGACGGTGGGTTGTGGCGCTCACAGCCTCTATACTTTCTTCAGACTTGGGTTCAGCTCAGCCTTCGCCCTAATGGGCCGGCCCAGAGCCAGGCAGACACGCTTCCCAGGTGGCTGTGGACGTGGAGAGGCTCCTGCTGCTTTTCACGGGTCATCGGCTGCTCCTAATGACACCACACACACAGGGGAGCGCATCAAGCATAGACACACTCCACTGCCGTTTCTGGTCACTGAGTCCTCAAGGCTTTATTTTTACACATGATGAAAACAGGATGTTCAGCGTAGGTTTGAGGAGGGGGTGTGTCTTGGGGGAAATGCAGACTTGACTCCCCATGATGAACTATGTTTGCTCTTGTTCTGTTCCAAATACTCTGCCCAGGGACCTGTGCTCATTCATTTCTGTAGTTTGGAATTTCTAGGGATATCAGAAAAACATGTTGAAAAGTATTTTAAGTAAAAAAAGATGGTATATATCGAGTACGGCTTTATGTGACCTCAATCTATTTTTTTTATTGCTCCTTCTCTAGATGATGTTGAAGATATATGTTGAGGCGGATAATGGACGCTGTTTGTTGTGAATGGGGGGAAAAGGAACAATTATTAAATATGCTTGTAAATATTTCCAAAGAAAAACTGTCAAAGAAAAAAAAAAATGTATGGACAACCTCATCATGATACTGTTAGTATATTTAGATTTGGATCTGGAGTCCCGAAGCGGTCTTTACCGGAGATTATTTTCTATATTTTAGAGTTGTGCAACATAAGCAGCTCGTTAGACTCACTTTTTAAGGCACTGGTTTTTACTGTGGACATATTCAACTCTGAGAAATAAAATAAAATTCTATATCCATCTTTAGTTGGGAAGAACGTATTAACACACTGTCACAAGCACTGAGCATTTGCTAAGCAGCCTAAACATGCGCACTGCCTCAACTACGCCCTCTAGACTCCTTCAGGAGGCAGTCAGCCATGATGATCAACAGAGAAATGTGTTTCTCCCTTTTTCAAGTTTCTCTTCCTGTCAGTAGATGTTTTTGCTATAGATATGATCCCTGAATATTGATTTACATTCTAAAATAGCCTGTTTAGGCACTCATCATTATCCTAATTCTCAACAGGGCTAATGAACTTGTTCTTTCTCACAGGTTTCGTGAGCTTCGACAACCCTGCTAGTGCACAGGCAGCTATCCAAGCCATGAACGGCTTTCAGATCGGGATGAAGAGGTTGAAAGTCCAGCTAAAGAGACCGAAGGATGCCAGCCGCCCTTACTGACAAAGCCTACCTTCAGTATTCATTGCAGCAGCACAGGTGAGCCAGCAAAGTGTCAGAGCCCTGTCACCAGTTCAGGATTTAGATCCTCAACATGGTGTCTCTTAAAGCTGAAGATGTGACTCTGCTTGAGTGGAAGTGGCAGTTGACATCTGGCCAAATGTTGTCCTCGCTGCTTCGTCAGACAGCCTGAATGTTAAGATCTTGCTGTTTTCTTCAACTTTACGACATAAGTATGGAATGAACTTTGTGTTCAGTAATTCTTCATTTCTAAATGTTTCTAGAATTTGAGTATCTGCAGAGTTGATTTGATATGCCTCACAGCAGTCGTATTAATTATAGGAAAATCTGTCATCGTCATGATTGACAAAGATTGATTGGTGTGCCAGTGCGGGTTAGCTCTCTCCAGACCATTTCACTGATTTAATAGAGTCATTTTGAACTCTCCAAAGTTTAAAGAAATACATTTTTTTTTTTGTAATGACAGCTTAATGAGCAGTGAGATCTGAAATTGCCTTCTTTCTTCTTTTTCTATTCTCCAGGTTTTAGAGGACGCGTGAAGATATCTCGGAGGAGTTACACTTTTTTTCTTTGAGCGCAAAATATGTTTTAAAAAAATCAACACATAAGGAATTTTTGAAGACATATCAGCATTTACTTATGAAGCTATAGGTTACGGCAGAAAAGAAGAAGATGCAAGAGAAGAGGAGACGCTTCACCGGGGGACTTAACAGTAACAGATGGCACAGTGCAAGAAAGACGAGAAGAAAAAAAAAACTGAAAAAAGATGTGATGAGACTGAACAACAGAACTTTTTCTTGTTGAGACTTGAATTGTTAATTAAGCAACAAACTAACAAACAAAAAAGCAGCAACAACAAATAGATTTCTATATACATATTATATACACATATATATAAGGAAAGAGGCGCTTGTGGCTTTTACTGTACTGGACAAATGAGGGTTAAAACTTGAAGATCAAGAAAAACAGTGGAAAAAAAGAAGCTATTCTAATCGTCCACTGACAGACTTTCTTTCTCTTTCCCTCTTTCTCTTATTCTCTCACCGTCTCTCAGCAAGGCAGAACTACGACTCTTGGAGGTCACTGAGGTTTCCATTAGCAACAGTAGAACTGCAAATCTTTCACCCCTAAGGGACCAAAGGACCAAACATTTGTATTGTTCTGAACAGTAATATATAGTATTAAAGATACTAATACTACAAACTACTACTAATAATATTACAAGTTAAACTTAAGAAGAAATACTAGCTTCAGGTTAAAAAAAAAAAAAGAGGAAATGGGTTTTGTTTTATTTTCCTTTTACATTTATAGCTACTGGGTTTAAGGAATATTAAAACAAAACAGAAAAAAAATGTATAAAGCTATACTATTTTAGGGGGGTAGACTATGTGGGTTAGACATTGTTGCGGGCATGTTCAGATACGTTGTTTTGCCACCCATTGTTTCATCTACATCACAGCATTTCATCTCGGAGGTGTGATCTGTCGGTGTTATTGTGTCAGGAGAAGAAGAAAACAGTGCCAAAAGTGACACAATAACAGCCTCTTAAAGCCAACATTAGGATCCACAGTGTAGTCAGCCGTGTACCGCTGTCTTCTGCTCTTGTCAGCGTGTTGCAATTCCATAATTGACGCAAAAGTACTTCCATGTGATCATTAAGGCCTTGATATTACCGATAATCTGACCATAAAGCACTGTGGTGAGAGTGCCATCCGGTCGAGCTGGATACGCAGCAGTAACACGGCAAAGCATCTGTAACCGCTTAATGAAATATACAAATGAGCTTGACAGCAGTTGTAAAAAAAAATGCCATGGTCGTGTCACAGTGGTCCCTGCCGGGTCGTGCCCCGTCCCGCTGCCAAGCCCCTCCAGCTGCTCTCAGCAGGCGGGAGCAGCCCCCCCCCCCCCACCTCTCTCCTCACCTCCAAGTGCCAGCATATCTCTCTCTTAATAGGGACCATCAGTTCACGGGGGCCGAGAGCTAACCCACAGCATAATTAGGATAATGATAATATTGATCAGATGGGGAGCAGCACTGCGGGGCAAGAGATGCTCCATCAATTACGCATTGGCATTTTGAATGAATTGACTGAGTGACAGAGTTCATTTTTCTCTCTGTACTTGGATGGGAGCCCTGTCCTTCTCTAACTACTATCCACAGTCTCAGAGGGGACCTCAAACCTGACAGAGGCAGCATGTCCTGTGGGAAACCTCCAAGGCACTTAAATCTGAGTGATTATTGCTCATAGATATAACATTTGAGATGATTTGATGGCTGCGAAAGGATCTGTATATACTAAGTGTTTAGACTAAATTGTATGAGTTCTTCAGTGAAGAGCAGCTGTATTTCTTTTTTTTTCTCCAAAGGGTATAATAGCACAGTAAGAGCTTGTACACGTTGAGGAACAGCCTGGCATTACCAGCCTTAGGAGGTCAAATTAAGAGCAAAATGATCCATCAATTAGACAGCAGCAGGCCTGTAAGTGTAGCTGCTACAGCTGCTGCTGCTTCGACAAGACGACAGCTTACCATTAGCAGCGGTCACAAATGGCTCCTATACAGTGTGGTCACGACACATCACGCCATACCCGATAAGATTAATTAACTAAACTATCATCGTCTGTGGAGAGCGGCACATACAGTACATCCGAGATGAAATCTTTGTCCATGAGTTATTTGCTTTTACTCTCCATTATCCATTTCACTCTCATATTTCTTCAACTAACATCCACTCAGTTGTCTTTTCATTTGAAAGTATTTCCAACATGCCATTCATTGAGTCAGTTTGCACTGAAGCAGCTCGCCCCTGAGGACTCTGAGACCTCAGCGCTATGATTATTTCTCTAAACTTTAGACACATCAGTGCTTCGAATCACAATGCTGTCTCTACGGCCGCATCCACGTACGCAGAGTCTTCAGAAAACATGACTGCTATGCCTCCATAGTCTGAAACCACAAAAGTCATCAGCAGAATGGCTCCCCAGGTCCTGGTGACTGCATTTTTTAATTCTCTTTATTTGTTTGGTTACCGGTTCACAGGATCAGTATTATTAGAAAGGGGCTTCATTTTCAGGAGGCTGTTAACAAATGTTACTACCCTTCTCCACTGCATATTGTTCTCTTGCAGGCAATACTTAGATGCTGTAAAAAGTCTTTAACAATGCCTTTTCTCATCATGAATTGCCAAATTATGCAAGCATATCCACTGCATTTCCTCATCAGACTTTAAACGTGTGCCAGATACCTTGAAAATGTTCTTAGAAATGTGTTCATTTTCAGGAAATATTCATTACTAGAACAAGTATTTGGTTATGTGATATAGCATAAACTTGTGGGATAAAGGTTCTTGCAGGCTGTAATGATATACAATAGAGTTTCCTAGTGAAAAGGTTAGATTTCATATATATTTGCCAGAAGACAGCTTTTTCCCCCCTGGTGAGTTACTGTTAGTTTCCTCTCTCCTGTCAGGCCCAGCAGCTTTAGGATCTGTGATATATGCCCTCCTTTCCCCGGGCCATGCAGGGCCTTATAAACCCACTCAAAAATCTTTTCTTATGGGATTTCTACTAGAGAGTTTTTTAAATTATTAAAATCAAATTAAATGTGGCCTTCACAACAGCTTGGGTAATGCAAATTAAAGATGCCAGCTGTGGCTGAAATTTAATGAGTTGGAAAAGATGTTGAGTTAATTTCATCCTGCCAAGAGAAAGAATGAAATTTGATCGAACGAAATTAAAACACTGAAGGTTTGTGGATGGAGACAGTTTGTGTGTATAGAGCATAAGCCTAATTATACTGTACATATCCAGTAGGACATTCAGAAAAGGGAAACAAAATGAAATGGAAAACAACAAAAAACCAAGAAATTAATGAATTGAGGTTTTTAATTGAAACATCGTTTGAGTAAGCAGAACTGACAAAAAAATCCAGTAATTATGTGAGGAAATAGCAGTACTTATGTTAATCTTTATGTACTTCAGTTGCATGTGGTCAATCTAAAGTTTGTTTTCTACATTTCTTTCACTCTAGCATCCATACATTGTTTTATATTTGTCATCCTACAATGCCCTTGCAATCTCTGAGCATGCTCAATGGGGGGGGGGGTTAAAGATTACGGTACTACTAGTATTAACAATATGATTCTTTGCCTATGGTTTGAATGCTAAGGATAGTAGCTTATTATAAATATGAAATCTGTATATTATGGAAAATCAGCACAGGACCTTTCTTTAGATACATATAGATTAGGGTTTGAAATGGGGGAGGGGTTCTAGGGAGGGGGTGGGTCGCTTTATAAAGATATTAACTTTCTGGTTTCTCAGCACAAAGCATACAAAAACATATAAACAGCAGTATGGAGTCTGTGAAGAAGACTTAACTGACATACAGGGCGCAAAAAGAGGATCTCAGAACTATTGTTTGACCTGGAGGAGAACATGTGGTTCACAGGTTGTATTGTTTTTCTTTCTTTCTTTTTTAAAGGAAAGCGCCACCTGTTTTTGTGGCAGCGTCAGTACAGCATGGATTAACTGACAGGGAAAGCAGTATCTTTTTATAAAAAAAACGTGTAAAAAAAACGATGTGTTCTGTATTAGCCTGAGAAACCAAACATTTTCCCCTGTTGACATTTCTTAATACTTGCTGCTTAGATTACTTCATATTAATGATTGATGATTAAATAATTTTATAATTATCAGGTCAAGTATGTAACTTGATGTTTATTTATCTATTTATTTATTTATTATTTATTCAGCCACTTTTCTTTTATGGTTATGGTAAGATAAAGATATGTATCAAAAAGAAATGCTTATTGGGGCTTTTCTCTCTTTCTCTCCTTTTTTTCCAATTTTACAATAAAAATTCAAACAGGATGTTTTGTTTCTCACAGTTATATCGTGTTGGATGGAGTGTTTTAACCGCTGTGCAAAGAGAGGGGGAGTAGTTGCACAAGGATTTGCTCTCAAGGACCTTCAGAGTCTGCAGATGTTGCAACCTCTTGCAGCTCGCAACCCCAGAGTGTGTTACTGCCTCCTCTCTGCTGAGTGATGAAACTGTGATGATAGGGTCATTGCCCTTTAAAGGGTAACCGGGTTATTACTGCACACACACACAGCTTGAAGTTGTGTAAACATTTTTATTTTAACACGAGCCAATTTCTGCTACTCAACGGGAAGGAGACTAAGTTGGTATTCATCATGAAAAAGCTGGAAGGACATTAAGGAAATTCATACTCGTATGGAAACCCAGTTTCACAGCATGTATGATTTGGATTATCTGTTCGTTTTGGAAACTGAATCCTCTACCAGTTAGAAAGGTCACCTGATGCTGTTCCACTGCAGAGAGACACTGGAGCAGTTTATTTTTTTTCAAAAACAAAAACTATAAACATCAGACATTTGTGAAGATAGTGGATCATGCAGGGGATGTGAGAAGAAGACAGGGGAACACATAACTATCATTTTGACAAACAGGAGGCAGTAAATATAAAATAAGGAAGGCATCGTATATCAGTCAAGTTTACATCACAAGCTAAAGAATTGCTTTGGGGCCCAGAAGAACAAATCTGATACATCTGTTGACATTGACTTGCTTCTGCACATGCACTTTGTAATCATCATCTTCTTACACTAGAAGTCACTGTAGCATCAGAAGCCAAACAGCAGAGACATTCAAATTTTGAGGAGCAGCGACAGATATGAAAAAGAGAGGGAGGGACAAAAAGTAGAACCACTGGCTCATGAAATAAATTGTCCCAATTACAATAAAGTGTGGCTCTTGGTCAGTGTGCACGGCAGGCAGTTCATCTTTATTACAATCAGTTAATGAAAATCAATCCCCCTCCTGATAAACTCTTATCTCCACGGCCTTTGCGCGCCCCTCGTGCGGGGAGATAATAAATTAGGGTAATATTGCCTTTGATGAGGGAGTGAATTGCAAATTATTGTAACTTTCCAAGATTTATGATGCAGATGCTTAATTTCCGAGCTGGGTTTTTGGGGGCGTCAGGGTGCCATTTGTTAAAAGTTTGGTGACACAGGCTCGTTAATACAAATACACATTCAGACAACCAGGTGTTCTCTACTGTTACAGTAGCAGAGAAAGCACTGCTGCAATGACAGGAAGTCCTAGCTCGCAGCATTTGCAAGCAGTTGGTATTTTACCTATAACGGCAGATGCATATGAAGAGGCAGGAACCCTGGGGATGCAACGTGTTTACTTAAGTAAGACTGCCAATCATAGAGTGTTATTTCCCCCCAGAGTGTTATTTCCCCCACCCCAATCTCTATCACACAACACAAGCCAGGAGCGTATGATTTGATATGTAGGTCAATACCCATTCTGGAGTGAGCCAGTGTGTGAGATATGTCTCGTTTCTTGCTGTCACTCTGATTATTGAGGAGACACAGAAAGATTGAGTTGGTCAGGTATGAGAGCCTGCGGTATGAGATAGCTGTATAACCGCTGCCACTAGAGCAGTTTGAAAAACACACACACACACACATATTCACTGAGAAATGAGCAACTTCTCACTCTTTGTGCTTCAGCAGTGACCCATGTAACAGGGTGCAATATATGTGTATGTTGAATGTCTCCTACTTGGTGCAACAATCTGACTCTGAGTGCATCATTTAGCAAAAACGCTTCAGTGAAAGGAGGTTAGGGGGTCTTACCAGTCAGCAGGAGCTGCAGAAATGATGCAAGGTGATCATCTAAGGAGCCACACATATCAAACACAATCTCACAAGAGCAGCTGAATGAGTTCACAGGTTGGGCTGGCCAACATCACATGTGTCGTTTAGCATCAATAAATCAAGTCTAAACTTGAAAAGATATCATGTGCAACTTGCGTAAGATGTTTCCACTAATGCTACAATCACTATTCATCTC